GCACCCCTGGTACAAACCCGCCCGACACAAACGTCCTCTTGCACTCTGGCTGCAGAGCTTTTCTAACTAATGGGTATTTATACTGTTGTAATGTGTCTGTTTGCTCTCTATCCCTCTAATCTCGCCTCACATTCATTTCATTAGCGCTGTTTGTTTAGCTCCGGCTCTCCCACTAGAGGAGGCTGCGCTGGAACGGAGCCAGGGCACTTGGGATATTGCATTATGCAAATCAGGCTTTGAAATCTGGATGGAGTATATTACCAGGCTGCTGCTCCCCCTGCGCCCCGACGTGGGGTGCAAAGACCCCGAGCAGAGCAAACGTCTCCCAGCTCCGCGGGCGCGGAGCTGCTTCGTGCACGCCGACATCGGCGAGCCGGACCGGGGAGAAAGCAGCCCCGTGGAACGCGGCCCTTTGTGCAGAAAATATCCCCTCGCTCTCTGCCGGCAAACACAACCAGGCAGTCTAGACTAGTTATTAGTCTAAAAATATCGGGGTGTTTTAGGTCTCTGAGCAAAGACAAAAAGAAAAATTCAGTTGTTCAACGCGCAATGGAAGCGAGCCCGTACACCCAGCGGTGCAGGGCGCTCACCTGGGGGTTTAACCAGCGCTGGCGCAGCCACAGGAGCAGGTTTGTGTGAGAGAAAAAAAACACACAACAACCCCCCCAGGTAAGAGGAGAAAGGCACAAATCTCCCTGTTTTCTCAACTTCAGCTCGGTGGCTGCTGACGGCGCGGGCTGTGGAGAACTTACTGTTGGTTTTATCTAACGTGAGATCCCAGCCCTGGGCCGGGAGTTCTCTCCATGCTGGGGACTCCCAAGGACCAGTCCCCATCCCAGCTGCCTAAAAATCCTCATCCCCTTCACAAAAGGGGCTCAGACTCTAACAGAGATGCCCCCTCTTTGGCTATTTAAAACCAGCTCGTGGATCCAGCCTCCTTTTCGCGATCTGGAGCTGAACTTAGCAAAGCACTGAGCAAGTACTTGCCTCTGGAAATATTAACAGCTTTTTTCTTTCAACTAATCAGACCCTTGAAACAAAGCTATGTTTATTTGGACGAGGCCCTGCCTGAATTTCCTAATTCCCTGGCTCTGCAAACCCACGCACAGCACTCACTCTTGCTCGTACCTCATACTCTTGGGACAATTTCAGGTTATCATTAGCTTTGAGATGCTCTGTGTGTTCAGCCAGCTCGGAAACGGGGATTGGTGGGTGGCTGAGCATACCTAAAAAGACAAGACAGCAGGAGAAGAATCTCATTTAATAATAACTAAAATTCACAGTCGTTGCACATTTTAGAAGAAAGAAGAAACAGGAAGAGGGAAAAAAAATTACAATGTAAGATCTGCAATGAAAGTAGGGAGGTTAGAAGAGAATTCAGGGCTCGAAATTGTGTCCTTGGAAGTAAAAAAACCAAACCAACAAAACTCAAGGAAATAAAAGAAAACAGTAAAATGAGAGTGTTCCCGTGATGGCCCCATTTTCAATGTGTAAATCAGAGCGAAACAAAAAAGGAAAATCCGAAGAGCAGATGCGTGTCAGCGATTCCAATAGTGGACTTAAAATGAGCAAACGCTGCCAGAGGAACCTACGCAGCAAATGTTCCAGCACCCGCCATGATCATAAACAAACTCCAACACAAAAGAAGGGAAGGGGCAGGGATCCAGCCGACCGTGGCGACGTGGGGCAGGGGAAGGGAATGCAGATGCAGGGAAGCAGGGGAGGCTTTTCAGGAATCGTCCTCAGCTTCTCGGGGAGCTCAGGTATGGAGATGTCAAGCTCTGGCTGCTCTCCCTGCTCAAGGCTGATGTTCCTCCTACGGCTCAGCCCGCAGGTGTCGGTGCTGCTCTGTGCTCACCCTCCCTTTCCCCGTCACAGCCTCTGCTGGGGAAGTCATCACCCTTTTGCAAGGATGCAAAAGACCCCCTCGCCCCTTCTCAGGAAAAATTTGCTGGGGAGACCGATGCCTCGTGACCCTGCTGCCCTCGTGCTTCTCACCGACTCTTCGTCACGCTCACGTCGAGGCAGACAGAGCTGCCAGGGGATGGACTCGACTTGCTCTGAGATGCACTGGCCGCGCTGCCTCACGCTGCTCAGCCTGGAGGCACGTCTCGGCCACGAAGGGGCAGAATCGGTTTCCAGGTGCGATTTGCACCTCCTGCATGGAGCAGGACAGCTGGAGCTCCGCAAAGAGCAGGGAACCTTCCTGTCCTACCATCTCCGACAGCTGCGCTACAAATCAAGGTGGAAAAGCGCTCCGTGCTTGGCTCATCTGCATCGGATCGTGTCTTCCCAACGGCTTCCCATGCCGCCCGCCAGGCGGCCCCGCCACGAACGGCAGCGGAGCGGCAAGGACAGCAGCATGCTGGAGAGCCTTGGGCATGCCCCCAATGAGAAGGACAGGAATGGAGGAGAGATGGAAGCCAGGGAGAATTTCGAGCCCCGTGGGTGTTGGTGTGTGACAAAGCAGCGGCGGTGGCAGCAGCATGGTCAGATACTCCGAAAACTCAGCACAGAGATGGCAAAGCAAGCATGACATCCTCAGTTTTACAGTGACTTCTGGAGAGGTGCTGCCTCCCCCAGGCCTAGGGACAGGACGAGTTTGCCACAGAGCAGGGATTTGAGCCACCACTCCAACAGGTTTCGCCTAAGCTAACTAGCCACCTGTTTTCAGCTCGAGGAAGTCCGGCTGAAAACAGAAGTAGTGGGGAATAGACCAAAAAAACCTCACAAAAATAACCTCAAAGTATTGTGGAGGCTGTGCTGGCTCCATTCTGCTCTGCTGAGGATCAGGGCAGAAAGTCTCTCCCGGCTCATGGCGGAGAAGTTCCTAGTGAGTCTCCTGCTGTTCTGTAGCCTGCGGCACCCAGAGGAGGATTTCTCCTTTGCTCCCCAGCCTGGGCTGGGAGGTGGTTGCCATCCAGCCCAGTACCGGGGCAGTGGATGCAGACTGGGGTGCTCGGAGGAACTGGTCCTCTCTCTGCCCACGTGGGACACACCGGCTGAGACACCGCAGATCCAGCCAAGTTAAAATTATAAATATTCTTCTCCGTGTCTGTCCTTCTGCCTCTGAAAGCAAGGGCTGAAGAGAGCAGCGAACATACCTCGAGCTGTAGCAGTAGAGCAAAGCCAAACCCTACCCAGAACAACTTTGGGCACCTCAATAAACCATCTCCAGATCTCTGTGGGTCACCCCTTTTCACTGGCTTCTGCCTCCCAGGTTGGGAAAGAACCAGGCAGCTCCTGACCCAGCTGCCACCACCCGATTGCTGTAAAAACTTAGAGATTATTTGCTGAAGCGAGCTTAGAAACACAGTGCTGAAAACGAAATCCCAAATGATGAACACGTAGGTTAAAAGGAAAAAAAAAAAAAGAACCACACAATCAGAAAACCTAGTAATAATGAGCAGCAAGAGAAAAAGCACCCAGACTCTCTTTGGCTTAGAAGTCGTGGAGCAATCCGTGTCATTCCCTCTAAGCAAGTGGGTTGCATGGGAAAGGCTCGCTGTGCCAATCTGGAACGGGAAGGCACGTTCCCCTTGAAGGCATTTCACGAGTTTCCTTCATCAAAGCTCCAAGAAAAATCCCCAGCATGACCAGCTCCTGCAAACCAGGTCTGGCTCCTTGCTGGGGAGCATCCTGCCCCCATCCCCACCCCGCTGTAAGCAGACACGGGCTGAGAGCTCATGGGAACCTGCCTTGTATCGCTGCTCTTAAAAGACAGAATCTCCTTGTCAGATCGATTTCTAGGGCTCTTTATAATACAAGAAGACCGGAAACCTCTGTAGCAATAAACACTTTCCCGGTCAAAATGCCAAGTGCAGAGTTCCCATTAAGATCCAGGAGGAGCTGGATATTCAATGAGCCAGGAGCGACACTTTCCAGCGGTACCGGCTGGCACTGCTGCGTCAGCT